AGGCTTTTTTTTTTTTTTTTTTTTTTTTGCTGAATTAAGTAGTATTTTTAATAGCACTTCAATATTTTAATCTACTAAATTGCCGTCATTCTAATATGAATCAAATTACTATTCTATAATACTTATTACATTTTTCGATGTAATTATTCCACTCCATGATAAGTATGAGTTAAGTATTCCTGTAGAATTATTGTATTTGGGTTAAAAAAAAAAAAGAGCATTTTAAATGTGTGGCATCAGCTCTAGACAAATAAATTTATTTTGCTGTGGTCTAATAATCTTTCAGAATTTAGTGATATAAAAAGTAGTTTTTCCCTCTACCTTCCAACAAACTGAGCCCAACTCATCAGAATGTCAGTTTTAGTAATTACTTCAGTTAAATAAAAGATTTTAGCTGCTACTGAAAAATATTTGGGGATTATATATCCCTAAAGTTGCATAAATGTTCTAATCTAAAGTAGCTAAATAGTTTAAGACATATGCAACATGAAACAATGTTATTTCTATATTTGATAAATAATTTTAGAGAGAAATTAGAGGATATAGTAATATTAACCATTAATTCTATTTTAAGATTTCTAATTGTAACTTAGTAATTCATGATCATTATTTGACATTTTTTAAACTCATGTGATATGAATATTAATTTTGATTCTCAATTAAATCTATGGAAGCAAAATATTAAGGGTAGCCTATCCAGAACATATTGAAATGCCTAAAAGCAGTTTTTACACTTCAACAATTTTACACAACAGTCATCTAAATATTATTTATTTATTATTTATTTATTTATTTATTTATTTATTTTGTACCAGTAATCAAACTCGGGACCTTGCACTTGTGAGGCAGGCAGTGGCACCACTGAGCTAAATCCCTGGATCTAATCATTTCTTAAATCCTGAGGTCACTTTTCTTATAAATAGGAACTTTGTAGAATAGAATATATTTGTAGAACATTAAACATTAACATACACACTTTATTATTTAGGTATAAGATCTCCCATGAAGACCTTAGTAACTACAGGACCAATGGGAGATATTTCAATATCAGCTGTCACAGAAGCAACATTTGTGTTAAAGAAAGTTATATTTATATGCAGAATTAAAGGATGAATATAAAATGGATATGAGTGGTATATGATGGCATTCTCCGCAGGCAGAGAAGATAAAGTCATTCATAAAGGGAGATTCATCTGACTTGTGTATGTTACATGAATGACTTCAAATTTTAATTGGCATACAATATTGTACGCTTTATTTCTCTTAGATTCACCTGTTTCATGTTAGGTTTTAGAGAGAGGAGTTTCATGTTAGGCTTCTGGGATGTCTCATAGCCTTGTAAAGGAAGTATCATTCATAAGCCAGCCTTTCCTGTGGGCTGCCCATACAGATCCATTGGTGGTTGAGAGTGAAGATCAGGCCACAGGGAAGTGACGCAGAGGAGGAGAGGCTCGGCTGGGTAAGAACATAACATGAACAGACCAGCTGGACCCTCCTGGGAGTTCATACCTGTGGGCCTGGTCAGGACACTGCCCGGTTTGGGAAGAATCAAGCTGATTTTTATCCTGGGACATTGCCAGTTTTTCTGCTGCAGCAATCGGACAGCCAGAAAGACTTTTAAAAAAGAAAAGCAGGAGGATGTGAGTCAAAATGAAAATATGATTGTCTTCGGCATGTGCCTTGCAGAGTACTTGGCACACATTGAACATTAAGTCACAGTAATAGTTCACTTAGCACAGTTCTCATAAGAAAAGACCCCAATGGTTTGTACAAACTGCAATGTCAACGCTTGTACCCCATCTCCATCTTAGAGATGAACAGTAACAAATTCATTTTAAAAATAAATATATTATGTAAGGAAAAAGTAACTAAAGGGATTTGAAACTTAATATATTAAGGAGAATGTGCTCATTCCAAATGCAATTTGTCCAATTATAAAGCTAGCATAGTAACTCCATTATTTGTCTTAGGCTCTTTAGCAAAGTTTTGAAGAGTGATTTTCATATCTTAGTTGAAATTACAAATGCAGAATATTAAGTTTTCTGGCAATATGATTTTCAGTAAAATAGTACCTTATAACCACATAATCCACATGAGACATAAAATATGCACATGAAACAATCAACTTTTCACCAAAATATTTCTATATACATAATATGTTTGTATATAAATGCACATATATGTGCTTTATTTCAGTTGTAATCTCCACGAAATGATATCACCTCAAAGCCAAGTTTACACTTAAAAACCTCTGAACACTGAAGCCTTCAGGATACCTTTTTAATGCCTGTTGGCACTAAAGATAATCCATAAGAAACTCTTTTCATTGTCAAAACCGCAATGGTGAGATTCTAGAGCAGAAAAAAAACATACTCTATTCATCTGACTATATGTACATAGAACCTCAGTATCTTCAACTATAAGATTTTGCTTCATCTGAAATAGCTGCAAATACAAAAATTTCTACGAAAGAAAATAATGAAATGATTTTCCTTTTCACTTTTTACTCTTCACAGATTGAAAATATTTCTCATGTGTTTCTAGTGGTAATGAATTTGATAGGGATGGGGCGCTCCTTATTACATATAGTTTGCTCTTTGATTGGGAAAATGTTTCTCTCACTTTTTATAGTGTAAAATGACTAGCCAGTCATCAGAATTACCTCCTGTGAGTGTTGCGGTTGCTGTTCACATGTCCCCGTCCTGTGCATCCTGGTGTGGGACACTTGAGCACATTTTCATGCATGGCAAGAACTAAGCACAAAATGTCACATTTAAGGGAAGAATAATTTACCATAAATGCATAGCACGCCAATAAATTTACTTCTCACTTTTGCATTGCAATGACTTTGTTACATAATCCACCACACATCCCCATCCCCAGATAGATTTTGATTGAAAAACAATAATGCATACAAGAATTTCAGAAATTAAATCCAGCAAGCTCATTCACATTTTAATCATCCTGAACTCCATGTTACATTTAACCCTAGACTTGATAAGACTGTGTTGCTTATATTTCACCTAAATTATAAGTATTTCACTTTTCTTTCCCATTCTTATACTCTTCCCGGGAGAATGGGTGGAAAACACCATTTATCGAGTAGCCCCTTTCCATCTCTTTTCTATCACTGTGTGTAGTCTCTTTTATCTCCTAAGTGATGCTATTTTGGTTCCCTGTCCACTGACTCTCCATTGCCAGTGGTTACTGTCAAGGGTATGCTTGTATGAACTTTCAGAGAACCTTTCCAAGGACCCACTACTTCAGGAGCACAGGAGCATAGTTGGATTTAGCGATTTGCCAAATCTTGACACTGAGAAGGGTAGAGGGCTGAGATGGCTCCACTTCAAGGTCTTGATAAATGTATTCAAAAAGTCTGAAATGTATCAATGCTCTACTTAGCTTAGAAGGTAGCCCTTCTTCCTAAGCCCTTTCTTCCACTTCCAGAATACCGGTTTACAGCAGGGCTATGATGGTGAAGTGGGACATGGTTGCCCTTGCTAAGGACCCTCAACTCCAACAGGATGTCCCAAGATAACACCACATAGTGAATATACCCTCAGCGAGGGGAGACCAGAGCTACACTGGAGACTTCTGGAACCCAGATCTTAGGCTGAGGGAGCACTATGCAGTCAGATAGTGTAATAGCCATGTCTTACTTCTGTGTACTGGCACTTTGGCATCTGAGGAGTAGAGGCTGCCTACCTCTCTTAGACTAAGCCACATCACGTAATACACAATCCACTAATATTCTTAAAATGCCAACCAATCACTCCAGCTCCCGCAGCCCACTACCTCCCTTATTAAGCTCTTACACCCTGGGTCATTGCTGCTTCCCTACTCAACCCAGGACCAAGGACCAGAGGGCACCCAGACCCCAAGGCCTGCTAAGCCAGACAGGTGATCTTCACACTGCTTGCCCTGCCTTGCCTGTTCTTTTACACAGAAGCCACATGAAAGGTTTCTGCTCACAGATCCTCCAGCCCCTTCCTCCTGAGTGACCCTGGGGCTCCCCTGTGCCCTCTTGCGGTATGTGGATACCCCTCCTCTTAAGGACTATGGGAAAAATGGAACTGCATTTTCAATGGCTATTGTTTCTTGATCTTTTGGCCTTTTTGCCCGCACATGTTCTATTTATTTAAAATAAATTAAAAACACACAACCACAAGGAAATTGCTGCTGACGCACATAGAGAAAAATTTGTTTCTATTCCTAATTCTAAATTGGAAAAGAAAAAGGCTAGTGTTGTGATGTTCTGGTGCTCCTGAGAAGATGCCTACATCTTTAAGGATAAGCAGTACTCACTTTCCAGGGGAACCCGCACTTTGTGAGGACACCCCGAAAGGCTGCGGTGGTGGGGGTACAGCCCCGTCACATGCCCTGTGCCATCACACCCAGGGATGGGGCACTTGGTCTCCCTTTTCTCAGGCCTCGGTGAATCTACAGAGAAATTAAATTGAGAGATTCATGCGGTTATTCTTCCTTTCCTTCCTATTCAATAGAGTGGCCTTGCAGGGTGACATTCTCACTTCGTTCAATTTGACCATCGTAATCATTCTTCTCACATTGCCTTGAAGAAGACCCTCAACTAAGACCTGTGGAAACATGAAACATGTTTTCAATTTTCTTGATTTCCTAAGCAAAGGCTGACACAGGGCAAGGGACTGTTAAAACAGAGATGGTTTTAAATTGTCATGTCACGTACTCTAGTTAAGGCCTCATTATGACAAAAATCACCACTATGCCTGAGGGTGAGCAGCCTTCCAAAAAGAAAAAAAAGAAAAGTGAGAAAAAAAATTTAAACCTAAATCATCTTCTATTGAAAGTCAAGAAAAAGCCAGATTCAAAATTACAAAACAAAACACTACTATGTCTGAGAAAGGCTCCTCTGGCCTTGTCTCTCTGAACCCCTGGCAGCAGATTTCCTAGGTCCATTCAGCACTCACTCATAAGCAGAGCTTGCTTCCAGGAAGATTCAGGACAGGGCCTGTGTTCTGCTTAACCAAGGGCTTTTAAGTCCCAAGTTTCCCAAGCCCCAGTGAGCTGCCACTTAGGATTATGGGAAAGAACCTGTGGATTTCACTGACTGCAGAAACTGAAAACTGAGGTAGCAGTGAGAAGATGTGGGATCTGAGGGCTTTCAGAAAAGAACAGTATAGAAAAGGGAGGAGATGGAAAAGGCTGCGGAGAACCTGGGTGCTGCACCTACAAACGCATCTTGTCCTGGCTGCCATGGGGCAGGAGCCTGGAGAGAGAGGGCCAAAGATAAGCTCAAGAGTTTTAAGTTTTTGGTTAGAAAAAGGATTATATAAGAACATAGCATAATGGCACACAAAACAGGAATACTGATAATAAGGTTAGCAGTAATGCAGGCAATATCTTAGTTACACATGCATACATTTGTGACTGAGATGGTAGATAACACAAAAATGCATTTAATCTTCTACACAAAACTATTTCCTAGCTCATGCTTGGGATGATATTAATCAGGGGGAATTCTGTCCCTTGGCACCCAGTGGTTTAGAAGGAGAACAGAAGGATTACGTGAGCCTCTGAGAAAGAAACAAGGTGGAATGCAGGAAGGCCACAGAATCTCAGAACTGAAATCAACAGGACTGATGAGGGCACTTGATGCTGAGAGTGCAAATAAATAACCCACAAGATCCTGTCCAAGAAACAGTCCCTGGAAGGGTCTGGCCATATGAGGATGCACAGCTCCCATATGCTCCTGCTCCAAGCTGGTCACCCAGAGCGGGGCACTATGGCAGGATGTGACAGAGTCTTCAGGCAGTATAGTTCGGGCACACATGATGCCATGTCATCCCAGTTGTTGGAGTACGCATAGTCGTGGACAGATGGGGCACAGCAGGTTGTATGTAATGCAATTATACGGGGGCATAGTTTCAGCAAAAGGGGGAGGAGCCAAGGATCCTTCACATTGCAGTGTGTGCTACTACTGGTCCAGGAAGGGTCAAGAGACAGAAAGCAGTGACTTGTAAGTGAGCAGCCAAGAGCCAAAGATGGAGACATGTCCACTGGCAGGCACGTATGTTAAGAGGATTTAAATACCATGACTGATATCCAGACTCCTCTCTCTCTCTTTTGTAAGAGACTGCAAAGCGTATCAACAGTTTGTGATGTGGGACTTTGTGCATGCCGGTTTTATTTAATCTAAGCAGAGTGCCAAAATTGAAGTTGATTCCGGCCCATGAAATCTGCAGCCCATTAGTCAAAATCCTTGAAGTTCGAGTAAAGTGAACTGAGAGGGGTTGACCCTGTCACAGACTGCTGCTTCCAGGGAGAAGAGCAATAATGTGTATTTTATGCCCTTCTTCTCTTGGATCTTGTCCAGGTGAGGACACATTTCTAAACCACAATGAAAGGCTTGGCTCGGAGTGTTTCCCCTCCTGGCTGCACTGTTTGTCTGTGGGAAGCCAGAGAGGGTGTTAGAGATAGCATGGGCTGGCACCTGCCCAGGTGAGGCCCACTGACAGTCCACCATGCACCTTTGTTTGCAAGTCTCTTCTCGGCTGGGCAAAACAAAGATGCAGATGAAATGCCCTGGAAGGCAGAACCTGTTTGCATGATAAGAAGCCAGAGGGAGCTCTGGGCCACTCTGGAGCCTGTCTCTTCTTTTATTTTCTTTGTACTGAGTTCCACAATGAGGCTGACCTTCTACTCTGGTGATGTTACATCCTAGTTTGTCTGGGACTGTTCTAGATGACACTTGATATACTTGTGGCATTATTAGTATTGTTCCTCTTTACTTGAAAAGTGTCATAGGTTGGGCTATAAATTGTATGGTGATTGTATGTATACTGGAACCTGAAGTCTCTTAATAGCAAAAGCACAACCAAATCTTTTATAGAATTGCTGACTTATCTGAAGGTACGAATAAAATGATATTTTGGCTGCCTTTCTCCAGGTACTTGACAGGGGGTGGGGGCTAAGGTAGGAGGATTGCAAGTTCATGGCCAGCCTGGATAACGTTGTGAGATCCTGTCTCAAAATAGAGGTAGAGATGCAGCTCAGAGGTCCAGCATTTTCTTGGCTTGTGGAAGTCCTGGGTTCAACCCTTAGTATTGCTGGGGGAAAAAAATCCTAATGTTCTCAACAGCAGAGTCAAGTTTCCAAGGTCAACAAAATGTCAGTAAGTTATTTAGAAAATGGCAGTCAGTAGAGATGAGTGTTTGCAGAGGACCATAATACTGATTATGCCCAAAGCAGGCTGTAAAGAGTTAACCCCACAACTGGCTTGTTTTGAGAAGTGAGTCTGGCCGAAGGTTAGAGTAACTTGCACTCAAAATTTGTTCCCACAATTAAAACCTTCTTACTAGAAGGACAATGTTCTAATCACAACCATGTATTTTGTCTATTTTGTTCCTAATTCAGGAACGTTTTGTCTTATCTTTTATGAGCCTTGTTACATTAATTTCCAAAGAAATTGCACATAGCTTGTCTTTAATCCAATTGATTGTCAGTCAAAGCCAATGTTTGGGACTGGCCAGTGCCTTTGTCAGTTGCATTGGTCATCCTGGCACCCCACATTCTCAGTTCTGTCTCTGTGTATTTTTTCTCAGGCCTGCATCGTATACGGGGCAGGTTAATCCTGGAACCTAACTGTGGGGGTCTCTGGTAAGTGTTCACTTATGAACATGAAATGCATGGCAGAGAAAAAAATCCCTATTGTGCAACTGGTTCCCACATCCAGAACAAGGGACAGAAAAGTGAATACTTAATTTGGATGCTTTAGGCATCCTCCAGTAAACCTATATAGTTCTTTGCTATATGGGTTTTGCCTTTTTTGCCTGTTTCATATGAGCCTGGTTCTGATCTCTTGAAGAAGCATTTAATCCCTCCAGAGTAGGACTGTGTCCCACACCATAGGACACCCTGTGGTGTCCAGTTTAGCAGTGGTTCTCTGTCTCCCAGTGACCTAGCATTTACAAATGTAGATTATTTTGCCTTCTAAATTTTTGAAACCAAAAATTTTTTTAAAACTTTATAAAAATAATCAAAGTATCATTAAAGATTTTAAGTTATGGCTTACAGTTTCTACAAATCCTGAATTTCATTGGTTGTAAGATATCATCAATTATAAGATTAAACATTATTTTATGTGTGATTAAGATAGAAAAATCTACTGAAAATGAAACTGCATATTTTTCTAATTTCAGAGTTGTAAAATAGGGAAACTGTATCTCTTAGAAGTAAATTTCATATTTTTTCAGATTTTATAGTTCATTAAAAACGAAACAGCTAAATCCAAGAAATTGTGTATTAATGGGAATGCACAGAACTAAACACAATGTCCTATCCTGACACATAATGGCCATGCATTTATTAATACTCTGCTCCTATCCCAACCCTTTAAAGATGGTTGTGTAGTGTTATTATCATGCTTCTAATTACTTGACATTATTTTAGTCTTCTCTGTTTCCTCAGTTTTGCACGACGTTATTTGTGAAGATTGCAAGTGAGTGCTAAAACTGATTTACAATGACAAAATATACCACGTATTTCTGGATAAATCTAAATAATCAGAACTTCTAAAGCACACTAACATGTTATTCTTTTAAGACCTTCAGCTATATGACCTTGATTTTCTCTAAGGTATTCTTTCTCTTCTAATTCTTTGGCCCTCAGACTTTTGGGTGTCCAAGCATCACCTGAGAACATGCTAAAAGAAATGCAAACTCTGGTGCTCTGCATCTGATTGGATCCTGGAGTGCCCACCTTAAATGGCCTTCTAGGCTCTTACAATGGTGCATAATTGTTGGATTCATCATCAGGCCATCTGGTATGAAACTGATGTGCAAATGGGTAGGAGACTCCATGGAGGAATGGAATAATGTTTTCCTAAAGTCTGAAGAGCAATATTGAAGTTTCCTCAAAACACATTTGCTCTGTCAATTGACCTGGATATTTATGGGCCCTGAGTTACAGAACCAGTAAAAGTATAGGCTTATAAATAAACACATTGATGCCTGGCTTCATTGCAGGAGGGATCAGTGCATCCTGCTAAGCTTGCCAATGGCTTGATATCATTTTAAAGCTCAAAAACAAAAACAAAAGCCAGATGACCATATAATGAAGGCAGGGAAGAAAAATTAAACTTCTGGAATTGATTTGGCTCATAGATTGATTTGAAGTCCAAAAAATAGTATTGTAATTCTAACAATGTCTAATGCAGGGTGGTACTTTTAAAGGTATGGTGTATTTTTTCAAAAATCAGTTCCATTAAAAGAAGAGATGTCATGAGTATTTTTCATGTGGAAAGACACTGCAAACTGAACTTACTCTGATAATACTCTGCAGAGTGGGAAGAAAGATAAGACGTTCATTTCAATTATAATTGATTCATGTGGAAAGACGCTGCAAACTGAACTTACTCTGATAATACTCTGCAGAGTGGGAAGAAAGATAAGACGTTCATTTCAAAATTATAATTGATTTTCAAATTGCATTAAATGGTCAAAAGGCTACCTAGAGGAAATAATCAAATCTGTTTTTCAAGCCTGAAAGCAATCTCATTTCTGAAATGAATGCAGAAGTGCATCTTACGTTTATTGTTAAAGATCTGTCTTCCAGCCATGTCGATAACTTTGGTTTGTCTCCTTTCCCCTGTTAGGTGCTCCAGCAGAAACCTGTCCAGCTCTTTGTAGGTGTTGTGGAAGACGCAGCCTCGCCCAGCCTGCAGTGCAATGGCGTGCTCCAGCAAACTCAGGTTCCCCTTGGCTTTCTCGAGGTCAGTGGACTCTTCTGTCATCACAGCCAGGCTCTTGCCCTCACCTTCCGCCAACTCAGGGAAGGAAGGCTGGGCTTGGCCATCCAGGGTCTCCCCGCACACATTCTGTGGGTCTCTCCTCTCTGTGTCGGAGTCACACTTGTTTTCACACAGAGCAAATCTGTCATCTTCTGTTTTTATTTCAGGAACTTCCAATAGGTCTTTTTTATTATCCGCTAACATGTACTTGGGGCCTCCATGGGGTTTGCCATCTTCTGACAAGTTGGAGCCACTGTCCCACCCATTCTCTGCACTTTCAGAGTTGCTTTCATTGTCATCAGAGGAGCAGAACAGTGGCTGAGAATCATCCATTTTGTCTCTCCCATCATCTGAATGGATCATAAAGCACTCAGCGGCTTCATCACTCTCTGCTTTTAAAGACTGGATGCCACTGTCATTTAAATTTTCATTTATGGTCAGAACAGAAACATTCTTCTCAAATTTTCCCAAGTGCATTAAAGATTTGACCACAAGCTCTTGATAGCAAGTGTATCGGTCTTCTTTCTGATGGGAGTTTTCTTGTGCATTTGCAGTAAGGTTCTCATCCACAGGTTTTATCATGATTTCTTCTACAGGGGAGAAAAACAACATTTACAAAACAAGGATAAAAAATGCTTTGAGGAGATTGTACCATTACATATGCACACCTATATAAAAGGATCCATCCACGTCCATATGTACAAGTACACATGCATATACAAGGTACTTTGAAAAATATTCAGTAAATATTTAGATTTTAAAACTTATCACAGTAAAGCACACATTGATGTTAATCTCTCTCAGAATGCTTCCCTTCCTTTTGAACATACCTATCCTATTGTCCCTGCCACTTTCTGAATCGCTTCTAGAAGTCCTTTTTAGTGAGTATCTTTAGTTGCACTGTCTTGGCTGCCTCAATTTCTTGAATCAATTCAAAAGGTTTACATTTTAACTGTGGAGAAGAGCCTGAAGTTCCACAGCACCAGATCCAGTGAATAATGTGGATGAAGACACATATAGTTTTTTACAAGCCTGCTTTTCTGTTGAATGGCACTCAGCAGCAACATCCGCCATATACTTCATAAAGACACTCACAAAAGAGGACTTCCAGAACTGTTGCAGAAGTGACAAGAATGATGTGGTAAGTGTGCTCAGAGTAAAGGAAAGTACTTTGAGGAGGGTGTATGGCAATGTGTCTTTTACTGTGCTATATTGTTAAAATTTAAATATTCGCTGTCTATTTCAGTAACACCTTGTATACATATATAATATGCGTAATATGTGGAGTTTACTAAATTTACAAAGATGGATGAGAAGAACATATATAACTTTAAAGGAAAATATAGAACTGAAAATTGCTTCAGCATACTAAGAGCTAAGCATTTCTAGGGTAGTGACCAAGGGGAGAAGTCAATATTGATTTCTAATAATGCTAGAGTACTGGATGCGAAATTATTGTTATTATACCTTTTATTTCCACATCTTAGCCAACCAAAAGAAAACTGAATATATATAATATACTGCAATGTAAAGAAAATATTAATCAGGTGTCTCTGTTAAAAAATGTCTTATTGAAGATTATGTGGTTTCAGTTCTCTATAGTTTCGCAAGACACATTCTTAGATTTTGTGGAGTATTACCTAAAATGCAAAATACACACACACATAGAGATTACAATTAAAGGAATTCATAATCTTTCAAGACTACTTGGTTTCCATTACCTTGAGAGGCTGAGGCAGGACCACTTGTCTGAGCCCAGCCTGGGCAATTTAGACTTAATAAGACTCTGTCTCAAAATAAAACTAAAGAAGAAAGAAAGAATTAAAGAGAGAAAAAAATGAAAGAAAGAAAGAGAAAAAGAAAATGAACTTAGGATGTAGCTCCATTCATAAGCCCTGGCTTCAACCCCTAGTATCACCAAAAAATGAAACAAAATCTTACAGCACAAAACAAAAATCTTTTGTAATTCTCACACTAAAAGTCCATATTGAGGAAAACACAAATGGGACAAAGAGCATGATCAGCTAGTATCTCAAATAGTATGAGTTTCTAGTCTGGTAATTGCATGCCTCTGTGTAGAAAGGAAACCAGACAAGAGGTGAAGATGGCTAGAGGATGTTGAATGGGAGCTACAGCTCCACACAGGGGTGGTTTGGACCTGGAACATCAAAACGGCAGGCCCAAGTTCCCGTGTGTGCAGCGCGGTGTGCAGCACGGCTCTCACGCCAGGGTAGCTTTCAGTGTTGCCCTCCACTTGGTAGGAGTGACAGGATGTCCATATGCACAGTTAGCTGACCCAAGCCTGCTCCCTGCAAACACATCAGGGAAGGTGTGGATTGTCTGGTGACCCCGGCCCCAGCGCAGGTACGTGGGGTGATGCCGAGCACACACCACCGGACAACAAAGCTCTGGTCCTCTCATATCCGGTAGGATAAAAAAAAAGATAGGGAGAAGAAAAGACCATTTTTGTCTTTCAAAGGCAGGGAGGGGGATGGGAAACAAAATAATAAGTCCCCTTAAAGACTGTTAAAGACACCAAGTGAAGCGCTTTCTGTGTTAATAAACATCTTCGGAGGGAAGAAAAGCACAGCCATTGGTGTGAGGGGTGCGGGAGAGGGTGTTTGTGTGGGAGACAATGTGCCTTTTTTTGTCTCATTTAATTTTTTATAAACATTGTCTCTGACAAGGACACTCAAAAATACATCTCCATCATCTTCCTTTCTGGTAATTATCTCCCTAAATCAACACTGGACTGCCAGGATCAAGTAAATATTGCCATAGTAACTAAAAGCATTTTTGGATGAAAGGAAGAATTCAGTCACAACACTAGCCCCTGTAAATAATGCTGATTATAGGGTGCAGTCTTTTGTTGGGATCTATTCAACGTAAACTGAAAAATTTAACATTTTAGTTCCTAGAAGAGAGACTGGATAAACAGGCACATAATATTTGATAGGGTGGGCCTATCCTCTCCTGAATTCATATCAGAGAAACTCCAAGTTTAAATAATATATTAAACATGGTCTAAAATGCAAATGAAGTTTTTCTCAGTATCACGGTTGGCTATTAAGAGAAAGTGAAAAGGGTTATGATAATTTTAAAGTATTATGAACTACAGAAAACAAATAAAAAGCATTTTCAGTGAATATGCTCAATTCATTGAACTATTCTCTCACTCCACTTAACTACCCACATGTGTACAATAATGATTTATAGACATTATACCTAATTATGCATATTTGGGCTGTGTTAGAGTGCTAACAAAAGCTCTAGAAAGCAACAATTACCTCTGTTGCTTAGCTACATAGTTTAAAATATTCCTATTAAGTGCAGATCACCAGAGAGGCGGGAGCGACAAACACACACATGTGCGCGACAATGCATTTCACTGTGTGGCTGCCAACTGCTAGCATTTTGGGTCATTTCCAGTTTACATAATTGTTTGGTTCAACTGTTTGTTATATGCTAAAAGAAAATATTTATTAATTATTCTTCAGAAAAAGAGGAGCCCTGCCGACAGAGGTGCCTACGTGCATTGCGTGCGTTGGTTTCCAGGGATGCTCTGCAAACTGCAAACCAACTTTCTGTGTTCCCAAACCCCTCCTGGGCCTTCACTGTAGTCCTAAGAAAACAAAATTGGCTAGCTTTAGAACCTGACAGATTTGTGACAGTGTGCTAGGTTCTCCCAGCATTGTCATGGGGCTGCCTGTTTTTGTAAAGAGAGTTCCCCCCGCCCAGGAGCATGGGGATATATCTTGTGCCTCTGCCACTAGAATAGGCGAAGTGGCTCTGCCTGCAGTTAGAGATTTGGGCTCAGGTTGTGAGGCTGGCGCTCCTGTCTGTGCGGACAGGTTGCTCATCCCATGTGAGCTGGTGTTTGCGTTCGCACAGTGAGGACAGCAGCCCAACCCTATACACATGTTGCCAGGGTCACCTCAGAACACCAGCACTTATTCAGTCAATGGTGGCTAACCTCTGTATTCCCTAGTTACTACTTTCAAAGATAGTAATAGCAGGGGACACAAAGGATGGTAATATGAAAGAAGTGGACCTCTTTTGCATCCAGAATAATGAGTAAAACTGTCCCCTGAGGAGAGGCAGGGTCCACAAGGTTCAGCAGCCTAGCAGCCTTCATGGGCTCCCACCTATGCTACACATCCTACCACGGCACTGTTCTGCTTCAGCCTGTTGAAATGGAGTCAGTGCACACTACACAGGGTGGGATGTTCATTGACCGGGAATGTGCTGCCTGACCAGTGCTTCCTGCCTGCTTGACTGTGGTCAGGTCCTTGGTCTCCAGAGTCCTGAGTTCTCATTTTCAAAATGAGGATGATTCCATGACCCAACAATGGATGACTCACGGATCCTTCCCAGTACAATAAACTTAAGTGTCCCTGGCATGGTGTGTTTCATTTAATCTTCACAATCACTGTGAGAAAGAACTGCAGTTTTAGGGGGCCAGGGGCTTATTCAAGCTACTTAGGGGAGGCTGAGCCACAGACGCATGGCCACACGGCTCTAACCCCAAGTCCTTGCCCTTGTAACATCCTACAGCCCAGGAATGCCATGTGCCTACATTGGTGTTTGCAAAACACAGCCACCTTTAGTAAAAACTGCCATGAATATTAATATCCTATTATTTTCCTAAATTCGGGCATTTTCAAGGGTGAATTTATATGAATATACTAGAATGAAGTTGTCAGCTCACTTACAATGAGGACAACAGTGATCTTTAAATTAAAGATAAAAACATGCAAAGCAAATAACACAATAACAGGAAAACTAACAAATCAACCTCAACTTTTCTAATACCACGAAAATATAGATTGGAAAATTCCTAGGGTGCATTCTGAATTGTTGGTGATTGTACGTGTACATGATAATGAATTCTTGAATATATATATTGGCTGTTCTGCATCAAGTCAACTTTAAAAAGTCCTCCTAAAAATCATAACACATTGAATTGACTTTGTCAGTATAACTGGATTTTATTATTATTGGATTTCAGTTCAATTTCTGTAACTAGTGAGGTTATTTCTATAGGTAAATTTGTTTTCCAAGCTTCTTGAACATGTAAATTTTTTCCAAGGAAATGAACTAAGCTCTCAAGTTCTGAAACTGGAGTGATTTATCCCTTTTTTGTTATTTATCGAGAGATGATTTGCTAAAAGTATCATTCTAGCTCCTAGAACCTCTTTGACTGGCACAGATTTCCTTGAGTTGTGACACATGATCAAGTGCACGAAACTCACATAAGGGCTGGGTTACTCCCACTCTGAGCTCTTTCTTATTTTCCCTTCCATAGTGGGAAGGTTTGTGCATGTCCTCCTTTCTGGAAGTGCTGTCTTCCCAATGAGTAAGATATATTTGCATGGTTTGGGCCACATTCTTTTCAATCTCTGTCTCTGAAAGACAGCTGGGTGAAGTGTAGGGATTTTACTATAAAATGGACTTAAACATTTACAGGATCCAAACCCATGAGCTTAACCTCCAAGATCACTATATACTCATTTTATGAACTTTGTAGCTGAAGATACAATGAGAAGCTGCATGGAAAACACTTTTGACAGGTTGGGCACTCACTCAGCTCTCTTTCTTCCTGGGAAGGTTGGGGTGACTTGTCCAGTGGGCTGAATGCAACTCAGAGCCTTTGCTCTGTTGATCAGGGATAGAAACATCTATGACCGGTCATTTATCACTTTATGATTTCACACTGTTAAAACTTTGTCCTATCTTCATTCCAAAGAGAGTCAGATAAATGGATTATGGTACACTGTCAACTGCGAAATAATGGTTCTGCTTGTCTTTCCAATTGTTTCCTAATTATCTTCTTTCTGACACATACAAGATGTGTTACTTTAAGTGTTAAATCTCTTTGTTATTCAGGGATCTTGTCTGTAAAACTGAGATCAAACTCATACACACTTAGGGGTGTTATAGTGTACGTTAAGTGGTATACAAAGTGTGATTAAAAAGCTAAGGTGAATGTTTAAATTGTAAACATTTATTAAAGTACAAGACACATTCCCATTATTCCCTCCAAATACTCTCTTTTGCTTATAACATACTTGTAACATACCATCACCCTTGTCATTTTCTGAAACAGCTTATTATTTTTATGGAAAATTCTGTCAAATAAAAACATCATGGTGTGTCCTTATCCACTAGACATAGCGCCATGCAACTCCCGGCTCTTCAAAATGACAATGAAAGGTAAACTTTTGTGATTCAAGATATCAAGGCAGTTATAAGAAGATAAAGACATTCACAAAAGAGGACTTCCAGAGCTGCTTCAGAAAAGCCAAGAAGGGTGGGATGAATATTTTGAAGTGAAGGAAAGCATTTTCAGGGGTATTATGGCAATGTGTATTTTACTGTAATCATTTTAAAAAATCCGTCATATTCTTTAACCACACTTTATAATTTATGAGTTTGGAATATATGAAGAACTAAAAAACAATGGTTGCTGCTGGTATGATTTTAGCATATTCATTATTATCAGTATGGTTCTAATATGACATAAAATAGCATCTGTGAACATGCAAATAGATGTTCATCAGTGCACATCATTGAATGTTTAACCGAATACATATGCACAATACAATCACTTGACCAATGTTAAACATCAATGATGATCAGGCCACTACAATAGAAACTTGGAAGTCAATACGCCAGAGACAGTCTTTGGCTTCAAAAATCTTACAAGAATGTGTTAATGTAAATATTTGCTTAAAATATGTGAATTTATCTCAATTCTACCCTCAATGACTCAGTAGCTTTCCATAAAGTTCAACCTGAAATTTTCATAGGAAATTAGAAAAGTTGAAGTTGATTATAATTTATAGATGATCCATGAGGCTTTAAAACATCCTAAATACATTAAAACCAGAAAATTTACTTAAACGAGTTCAAATCAGCATACAACTTTGTTTCAACCACAGAATCTCCAATTCCTTGTGAGACAACATTACTTGAGATAGGTTGAGTCTGATCTGAGATTTATGCTCAATCAATATATTTTATATAATTTAAAAATAACTATTCAATATATTTTGATTCATTAAACATTTAAAAAGGTATATGTATAATAGAACATGAACATATTTCATTTTCTTGTTAATCTAAGCTTTAGATTTTATTTTTCCATAAGTTTTTTTAAATGTTTTGCCTCATGCCAAAGCAATCAATACATTCCAACCTTCAGAAGTGTGTAACTACCAGGGACTAATGGCAGTTAACTGTGGAGGAGAAATAAATACTAAAGTTTCAAAATAGTAACTATGTTTCACTTACCATGCAAAGATACTTGAAGAGTGAGTGAGGATTGAATTAAGTACAATGTGTTCATAAAAGCAAAATTAAATGATTTGTTTTAGAAACAATGGGCATAGTGATACATTCTCAATATTATTTTTCCTTATGAAAGGGCTTCTAAGACAATAACTTCAGGTCACCTCTACAGTCTATTATTATAAATATTTATTCAAATATATAGACTATATTAAGGTCACAGGCTATCTGCATTGGTTCATATTGTTATCACCAATCTTGTGGGATAAATAATACTATGTATATTGATTAAACAAAAATTAAATGTTACATATAATCATTAATATGCATTATATAGAACTTGCACACTGGAAAGATATCTTAAAGCTTAAATATGCTCTGTAATTTGAAGAATTTATTCAGGAAGTAGACATCCATTTGAGTAGGCAGATAAGAAACTCTTCAACTTTTAGGCTTAGTATCTTTTCTTTTCTTCAGTAAGAGGCCTAGCCCAATCCTGTACTTTAAAAAATGAACCCAGGGCAAGGACTCTTTGTTGTCTACCTATGATGCTCCATAGTTATTGATTAAAAACGGGCTCTCAATAAGTGAATATTAAGTGAAATAAATGTTTGGTTTGCTTCCAAATTCCAAATATACTTTTACAGCCAAACTGATCATGGTTCTACAAAGGACTGAATCTTGATGCCAAGGACTAGATCAAATTGGAGCCACTCCTCCTTGCTACCTGCAGCAGAGTGGTTGTTGGTTTCCAAGAGACAGTCTTCCTCAGTCTTGTCATCCCGGTCTCCTTTGCAGTCTGTGCTTGGGCTGTAGTGTCGGGGCTTCATCAGCAGGGATTTCCTTTTGTTGACGGGGACACCCAAAGCCTGCTCCTCAGCCCTCCTCTTCTTTGCCACAGAGCAATCATATGCAACACTGCAATGAGTGGGGAAATGAAGACCACGGTAAAACAGCAATCACTGCAGTTTGGAATTTTACTTTCGCAATGCATAACCCAAAGACTCTAAAAACGTAGGACTAAAGGTTTAGGGTTAGTTGTTGGCACCAACAAAAACAGCTCATCTGTGGAATCCATTGAACTGTGTAGATTCTACTTTACTATCAGAATAGCTTTTTTTTTTATAATCATCCTTAATCCTGAGTAAGCATATGTTAAGCTGAGCTTTGCTTGATGCTGCGCTAAATCATCAGGGAGGGATGAAACAAAATTCGTACTGGCTTGCTAATCCTAAGAAACATTTTTTTTTTTTAATCATCCTTAATCCTGAGTAAGCATATGTTAAGCTGAGCTTTGCTTGATGCTGCGCTAAATCATCAGGGAGGGATGAAACAAAATTCGTACTGGCTTGCTAATCCTAAGAAACAGATAATGTACAAAATATACCACCAGATACAAAATATGTATCCAGTATCCATAAATCACAAGGTTTTCCAGATAGTTATTTTCTGCTGGAACTGCTTATCTCTGTCACCCTTTTTCCTCAAACTTAAGAGGACAAATCTTGGGCTTTGAATTAAATGGAAGAGCTACTGGGCAAGGGGACAAGCTATTAGGCTCAATCAACCCATCTCCAGGCACCAAAAAAATATAAACAAGTAAAAGTGAAAAGATGATATGTGGCGTTCTGCCTTTTGATTCTCACCCACTTGGCACATAGAACAAACAAAAGGAGGGGAAATAAGATTATATTTCACAAAAGCAGACAACAGTTTATCCTTATTCCTTTTCTCACATGGTTTTATTGGAAATGCTCCCAAGTGTAGCCCTTTCAACATGGATTTCCTACATATACGTCATTCAAAATTAATGCAGATCACTCTACGTGTGAAGTTAAGACAAACATTTTCTTGGCAAGATTCATGAAGAAGAGAGGGATTCACCAACAGTGAGTCTATAAGAGATAGTCATTAAATACTCTTTGAAGAAAAATGCAGGAGCTTTGGATGAAAAACCCAGAGAAGAAAATCTTGGACTCATAGTAACAAGATACTATGAATTCCATCTCTAAAAGATGATTGAATTTTCAATAGTATACTGAACAAAGGCATAAACTATTCTCAAGCAAACGGCAATGCTAAGAAAATGGTCTATGGGTGAAACAATCGGAAATAGTCATACGCAATTTCTGGAATATAGGTAAGTAGATGCAAAAACTGCTAAAAGGGGGTGGGGAATATCATTTCCTCTAGGGAAAAAAATCTCTCTTCTTGTGGAAGTTAGAAATCTCTCCAAAAATAATGGAAAATTGGAGAATTGAAAATTAGTTTGATGGGAAGAGATGAGTGAGGGTCCTACATAAGTTAATATGCTTTCACAGAATTTCTCTGAAGAGCCTAAATTTAAAGTGACCATGTACAGAGGATGGTGCAAAAGAGAAAATAACCAGATAAATATGAGAATCCAGGAAGTCTTTATATAAAGGCTGCAAAGTGGAGACCTACCTCAACTAATTGATTTGTTTTGTGAAGAAATACACAGGTTTAGGCCATACAGTGCAGCCCAAGAGGGCAAAGACAAGTAGAGCCATCTCATGCTGGCCTTCCTGGTCACAGGAGACTTACTTTTGAGGGGGGAGGCAAAGAAACATGTCAAGCATGAAGATGAGTGGATAAAGTTCCTAACTATGTAAAAATAGTGCAAAAAGTTCCTTCACCTTCTAAATTAAAATAATCTCCCCACCAAACAAGCTCAGAAAATATATAGAACATATCACTAAGCTATTATAAAGAACCAAAAAGATTGTAGAAAGCAGGAGAGGCCCCCATGCCATCAGACTTATTTTTCTTTTTTTTTTTTTTTTGAAATCGGTTTTCACTATGTAGTGGAGACTGACCTGGAACTCACTTTGTAGCCCAGGCTGGTCTCCAACTCACAGAGATCCTCCTGCCTCAGCTTCCTGAGTGCTGGGATTACAGGCGTGCGCCACCACACCCGGCTGCCATCAGATATTAAAACAGAAAAGAAAATGGATTTTAAGAACCATTGTGATATAAGTCAGACACTGGTATTGGAAAAGAGGCTCACAAAGTGTATGAAAGTTAAGATTTCCCAGTATCCTCATTTTAATTATCTTGTATTAATAATCAGAAGTGGGATTGCTGGATCAACAATAGTTCTATTCTTCTAGAACTTCCATACTGTTTCCTATGTTTATTAAATCAGTTATCACAAGAACCCAGATATAAAAATACCCTCAATGTCCACCCAATGCTAGTCAACATTTAATGGGAAGAAAATTCTGCCCAGAGCAGTAACATGCAGGAAGCTTGAAGACATCACTTTAAGTGAAATGGGCCAGAAACAGAAGGAAAACCATGAATGAGTCCAGGCAAATGAAGAACAGAAAATAGTCATATTCATTGAATAAAAGAGTGAAATAATGGTTTCTATGGGCTGGGGTGGGGAGAGACAGAGAGTTATTAAAGAGCAGGCATAGAATTTCAATTAAACAAGACAAACTCTAGAGATTTGCTGTACAGCATTGTACCTAGGGTCAATGATAATGCATTGCACACTTAAGAATTTGTTAAGAGGATAGATCTCATGTTAAATGTCCTTACCACAGTAAAATTTAGGAAGAAGGAAGAAGAGGAGGGGCAGGAGGAAGGGTAGATTTGCCAGAAGCAGGAAGTATTTATCAATGAGATCAAGCACGGTGAGGACAGTTGACAAAGACTGATCAGTCAGAAAAATGGCATTTCTTTGATGATTGGAAGGAACACATACTAGGTGGTTCTTACAAACTTTACCTTGTTACTAATCATTCCAGATTATTTATAAAAATATGTAACATTCTCAGAATTAAATAATTAGGGGAGCTAATGTTTGAAACTAAGTCTGCCAGGCCCCAAAGTTCATGTTCTGTTCGACACAAGTTGTTGCGATAGAAACTGAATAAAAGAATGACCTCTGGAGTCTAGAGGAAAATGTTGGTCACAGGGCCTTGCCCAGTGATTTGGGCATATTTTTTTTGCAGGACATCTTCAGTCTGAGGGTGGTACTGAGTTGCAGCGATGAAGAGTATGCTGCAAAGCCTAATTAAGATCCCTTAAATGCCCACAGACCGGAGAATGACCTTCATGATTTTTTTAATGGTAATAAAAATCAAGCTCAATATTTGGGTGAAAATAATAACCATGCAAGTCTTGGTTGAAAGAGATATGTAAGATTTTATCAAAAGTACAAGTTTGGTTTAAAATAAAGCACTATTTTTGAAATTAAGGTTATATGAAATAGCATCAGTAACCTAACTGCATAATCTGCAGCAAGTGGTTGGATCTTTTGACCATCAAATTTCTCATGCAGCAAATGGAGATGATAATTTGTAGTTCACATGTTTTTGAGGCTACCAGAGATAATATCTGTGCAGTGACTAATGTAAGTAATGATAGACCTGTATGACTCCCAGCCTAGGGCTCCTTGGACTCCATCTTCACTGGCTGACACTGTCCCATTGTAGGCTCACCAGTCTTAGCCTAGAGCACTACACAGGTGTGTTTCCATAGGTGGAGTCTGCCTTTTTACATATTCCTCATATTGACAGAGATTGCATTGGATTTATGCATAACATTTGCTTTAAATCTCACATTTGGTGCATTTCTCTATTGCAAAGTACCCACAGCCCAGGCAGCATTTGGAGCTAAAATGAAAGACTTTATAATAAATATTACCCTTTGTGTGTGCATGGAAAATGGTCCCTTTTCCTAGTTTTCCCTGAGGGCACACTATTTTGGCTTTATTGTGACACTTCACTGTGACACTGCAATGAGGGAAAGCCACGCTTTACATGTCACTGAGAGAAATGCCACAAAATGCTAACATATCTTCTCAAGGTTGCCAGAAATCATTTCCACTGGGTTGTGTTTTCCCATCTGCGGAGCTCTGAAATGTTAAGGAAATAAATGAGCTCTATTATCTATATTTTTCTAGTAGATGAGAAAGAAAGAGAAAAAATACACTCAGCCCTGCATTTATTGTTCTATTCAATCAAACTGTTGCTTTAAACATCCAGAGGCCCTAGGGAACTTTATCAATGCACCAAATACTTTCAACATCATATTTCAGGTTTTTATTTTAGTGCAGCATCTTTAAAGTGTTCGTATTTACCAAAGAGAAACTTTGGGGTTGCATATTTCAGGAATGCTTCCACTTAGACATCTGAATTCTAATTTGAAATGCTATTCTCTTTGACGTGCTATAGCTGAATTTTTAAAAATCCTCAAAACAAACTATAATTATACAACTTTCATGATAAATTCAGTCCTGGAAGTATGTTTAGAAGCCAAATTTATTGAACTTTCAGGTTTCAGAAAAGATACAACAAATTAGGAAATGAGAATCAAGACTTGCCATGTAAAGGTACATGATCCCAACAATGAATGTAACTGTACTGTATCCCTAAATGTACCAATAAACTCAAAAAAAAAAAAAAATATAGGTCTAGTAATAGATATTGTTTGAACACCCCCAAAAAATAGAACATATAAATAAATGGAGACTATGAAACTCTGAGTCCAAGGAAATCATTTATATGTTCTAGTATTTTAAGGAAATTTTTATAACAAGAATTCCTACTGATTCCTTTGAACTAGATAGACTACCACAAACTCATCAAAAGGGCCAAGAAGAGTGAATATGAATTAAGACTCAGAAAACAGAAAAAAAAATATGGCAATGGAAAAGAAAAAACAAATATTATTTACAAAGCCATAATCGTGTTTGAGAAAAATCCAAAAGAATCTATAGATAAATTTTAAAATAATGGAGTAAATGTAGTGAGGTTATGATTCAAAAGTTAATTGTACTTCCATAAATCAGTAAAAATAATTGGAAAATAAAAATTTCTAACTAAAATAATTTATAATAGCATAGATATATAAAATGCTTGGGAATAAATCTAACAAAAGGGGTACAA